GCAGGCCTTCTTTCTCAGAAGGCCCGGAAGTCTCATTCCAAATTTGGGAGACAAAGGACTGGAAAAAGTATAAATAAAGAGAGGCCCAGAATTGGAAAGACACATTTTTCTCTGGGCCTCCACAGAATTTAATAATAAAATGTAACTCCTGTAGTTGGCACTGCAGTTCAGCCTCTGCTTCGGCAGGGTGCTGTAACTGTAGTCACTGGCCAGCTCAATAAGTCCTCGCTTGCTGTTGAAGACCTAATTGGAGTCGGTGGTCTTATTCTCGTGAATGTTGGTCCACAACAGTGAGCCAGCTTTATTTCCCACTCGCAGGGCTGTGGTATATCATACTTACAGTGCATGAGATCACAGAAAACGTGTAAACTAAAATCAATCCCAAGCAAGGCCCCGCCCACATCTTCCCAGGGACCCTCATGGACATAGTCCATATATTACTGGAGGTAAGAACAACAGCACAGCAGCAGAAACAAGATACCCTCAGACCAAATACACATTAGGGCCTGAACCCTGTCCAACAGAACATTTTTAAGTTATTTATTGAGTTTAGATGTTTTCGTTAGCAAATAAGCATTAAAAACAACCCAACTATTAAACATAACACTGATATTGACACCATCAAGTCATGTGAACATTCCCCAAGTTTCCTAACCCTCGGGAATAACAATATGATATTTGCATTTCTTGTGCACATTCCTCGACTAGAATAAATAATGAAAGGGGATCTGCCCTAACCGGTTTGGCTCTGTGGATAGAGCGTCGGCCTGCGGACTCAAGGGTCCCAGGTTCCATTCCGGTCAAGGGCATGTACCTTGGTTGCGGGCACATCCCCAGTAGGGAATGTGCAGGAGGCAGCTGGTCGATGTTTCTCTCTCATTGATGTTTCTGACTCTCTATCCCTCTCCCTTCCTCTCTGTAAAAAATCAATAAAATATATATTTTTTTTTAAAAAGGAGATCTGTGATAGCACAGGTTATGGGTCATGCCAGTTATGTGAAGACTAGAGGCCCGATGCACGAAAGTTCGTGCAAGAGTAGGCCTTCCTTCCCCTTGGCTGCTGGCACCGGCTTCCCTCCGGCACCAGGGACCCGGGCTGCCCTCCTCCGGCCACCCGCAGGCACCCAGGACCTGGGCTGGCTTCCCTCCACCCCGGCTTCGTCAGGAATGACGTCCAGAAGACCTCTGGTCTAATTAGCATATTACCCTTTATTATTGTAGATGTGTCCTCAAGTCCTATAATGCTGGTGAGCACTTATTCAATGGATCTCCATCCCATAAACCCTTTCAGCTCACCCTAAAGACCCCAGGGCTCCGCATTTTCATTTGGCTCTGGGACCCACCGATTATTCTGTAGCCGGTCCTGGGACTACCAAGGGAAGGCAGAGCTAGGAAGTGGCTGGGGCAGGTGGACTCCTCCGACGGGGGCCCTCAGGGGAGGTTCTCCCTGAGGAGGGGACCCTTGAGCAAAGACCTGGAGAAGGTGAGACGGTGGGTCTGCGTGTGCAGCGTTCCTGGCAGGGGTGCCAGCAGGGAAAAACCTTGAGGTGAGGGGAGTTCAGCCTCCAGCAACGAGACCAACCAGAGTGTGTCAGAGTGAGAAGCGATGGGGAGAAAAATGAAGGATAAGATCAGACAAATGGCCGTGGCCGGTGTGGCTCAGTGGATAGAGCGTCGCCCTGCAGACTGAAGGGTCCCAGGTTCAATTCCGGTCAAGGGCACGTGCCAGGGTTGTGGGCTCGATCCCCAGTAGGGGGCGTGCGGGAGGCAGCCGAT